AGCAACTTTCCTTTATTAACATTTACAGGGTTCGGGTGCACCATCGGTGCATCACAGCAGGTGTTGGTGCCGACAGTGATTCGAACCTCCACGGATTGACAAGGGACAAAAGCAAAAAAAAAAAAAAAGGAACAGTAGCAAGAAGAACAGTAACAACGACAAGGCTTGCCATGGTGGGGTTCTAGATCGTGGTTATGCTAATTGGGTGGATTTTCAAGATGTTTGGTGTGGCCCTGGAATTGGGTTCTTAGTGGATGTTGCTGCCTCTGTTGATTGTGTTGTGTCCAGAAAGAATGTGTCTGCAAGAGGGAAAATTGATGTTGAGAAGATAACACACATGGAGGTATTCAGAGTATTATAAATGGTAGTTTGTAAAATCACCCTATATTCTCAGCAATAATTGACAATCAACCAAATATAGAATCAGGAAATTTGAGTCAATATTCATGGGAATATTTTAGTTTACCAAATAACTTTTTGGTAACATCCCCGTGGAATTCACTTTTCCAGCATATTTCTGTAAATCGCGATTCCCAGCAACAAAAATATTTCTCCCTACCAAATGCTTAGTGGTTTTTATAATGGGTTAATAACTTCTCCTTTCACATAAGTTTTTTTTTCTGCCCTCACATCTATAGCTGCGCTTTTTTAAAAAAAACGGTGGGTCCTATCTTGTATTCTCTCTGCAAGAAACGAAAAACTTCTTATGTGAAAGGAGAAGTTATTCACCCTTGTATAATTTTAGAGGAATATTCTTCCTTCCCGAGCATTTCAAATATTTGGAGTTTAATAAATTTCAATAAATTTCTTATTTTTTTTCATGAGTTTATAACTTTTTTATGAGTATTTGAATTTTTAAATGAAATCTACAAGAATAATTAAAAAATTTACAAGCTCGGTAAAGAAATTTAAAAATTTATTGAGGTAGTATGAAATTCAAGGGTGTCAAAACGGGTCAACACGATACGATACGAATTTGACACAACACGAATGCATGTAACACAAATTTTTTGAGGGTTGACACGACACAACACGAATGACACGCAAACTATGGGTCAAAATGGTAATTGACAAAAAAGGGTCAAAATGAAAAAAATAAAAACAAATTAAAAAATTATAAAAAATATGAGTCGATTTCGTGTTGACACGACACCACACAAATTTTTTACGTGTCCTTTTTCCCAACACAAACACGGCATGGATTTTTTTTCGGGTCAACCTGAACATGAATTTTTGTGTCGTGTCATGGGTCGACTCACGTGTCATAACCTATTTTGACATCTCTAAGTACGATATTTTTCAAAGGAAGTATCCAAAAATAAACCCTTAAAATTCCTCATTTGAAAATTGTTTGCGAAATAATGTAGGAGACTCTAACATGATCATGAAATTTGTGACAACATATTTAATAATTTTGTAGTAAAATTGATTCTACCAGTGAAACTGACATCATGTCTCAACCCAAAGTCTTTCATGATCCTCCCCTTTCTAATAATTTGGTTTAATGCCACTATCAATTGGATCAAGGGGAGCCTTTAACTTAGGACCACCATCAACAGGCTAAACTAAACCAACTATAACAAGTAAATGCAATATTATATCTCAACCCAAAATTACCTTAATGCATGGGGTTTATGAGTCCTCTCGCACCATCTTGACATAGTTGATCATGGACCAACATAGGGACCGGGTAGATCTCTGCCCGTCATAATTTATAATAACAAGAGGCAGTTCGAGCCGGGAACATCCATATTATGGTGGGGTTAGCTCTCCCAAAGGGGTTTTTTTTTGTTGCATTCACAAAAACGTAAACTCAAGACCCTGCTTAAGCAAATCAAGCATATACCACTTAAATAAGTCTTAAACACCACTTTTAGGACCCTTTCTAAGCTGATTGAGGAAGATATCTAGCACATCTTCATAATTCTTTTGCAGCATTGGACCAAGACCATGAAAAATACATCAAGCTTAGTTCGGCTCATAAGATCAAGTTGTAAATACTTATAGTGGACACAAAGGGAAGTAGTGGATTTGTCAAAATCTATTAAAGCAAAACTCCCGCTCAGATGGCGAACAACATGATTGGTAGGGTACGAGCATTACTTCATCGTTAATTTATAGAGGTGGTAATATGGTTGAACCCGATGGGTCAACCATCAAAATGGGATAAGTTAAGTTACACATCTCAATTCACCAACCTGTCCCACTTGGTTGTGGGTCAAAATAGGTTGCGGCGGGGCAGATGGGTTGGTTCGCGGGTTTTTTATTTTATTTTTCTTACTTTTAGTTAGTATTTTATTTGTTACTAAGTTTGTGATATAAATTTTTTTTTTTATCTTATTACTCCTCTAGAGAAAATAAAGAAGAATATTTTTATTTATGACAAAGGTTATCTATATGTGGAGGCAAAAATAAATTCCTAAAAAATGTCTAATTGATTATTAGTAAATATTTAGGTTTGAGATTGAAAAAAAAAACTAAGAGGTGTGTTAAATAAAAATAAATAATATTATATAATTAATAATATACACTTTTTAATTTTTAATTATTTTTTATTTTTTAGACGGGTTTATCCGTCAACCTACCATAAAACCGGATGAGTTAGACTTTTCAACTCACATTCTAAAGAGGACATACCAACTCATTTTTGGCGGGTCAAGATGGGTCGAAGCGGGCCAACTCATTTTGCCACTCTATCCCTTTATTCTCTTAGTAAATATTTATTTACTTGTAGTATAAAAAAGTGAAATTTAAGTGACATTAATAATAAATAATGCATCCTGTCTTGGGAATTATGAGAGTAACATATTTCATAAGATAGAATGCTCGTTCACATTAAGCTTTGTTAAGCCCCGATGACCAAAAGCATTTCATTGGCATATTTGGCCAATCCATACTGTTGTCTTAAACCGCCCAACTTGTCAAGAGCTCCCTCAAACAAATAGAATACCTCATCCTTAATACCAATCAATCTGCTATTTTACCCTCAATATTTAGATAATAAGGTAAAGAGGTAAAATTAATAACATTGCACACTACATTCTAGCTAACAAGCATTCAGACAAATCCTTTCCTTATATTAACTCTATATCCGCCACCGCTTGCTTTAGGCATTATGTCAATGAAATATGGTTACTTTCAATGCCTCTACGACAATTTTCTACAAAAACAAATTGAAAATTGAACCAACAAGGTTATGGTTCTATTGAACCGGAAATTGAACTAATTAACATGTTCATGTTATGCACATGCTCACAAACTAAGTTAATCAAGTGAACAAAATACGTCATTGGTCATGTAAATTAGAAACATTGCATTGCTCCATCCTCCCATATAAGAAAATAAAAACAAAAAAAATAAACTCGCTAAAAGAAACTACTAAACTAGGAAAACAATACAATTAGGGTGTGCATGACAACCATTCTATTCCCTAGCATTGTTTCTGAAAAGAAACAATTTTTTTCTAGTTCTGTGCCTTGGAACAGTTTCAGAGAAAAAAAATGTGTTTGATAACATGTTCTATTTCTATTCCGAGAATGAGAATTGTGTTTGATAACACAACAAATAATATAATAAAAAATAATTTCTATTAAATATAAGAAAATTTCATATCATCACTTTCATTTTCATATGATGTGGTTGTGGTGGTGGTGGTGGCGGTGGCGGTGCGTAGTGGTGGTGGTAGTGACGTGGTGAAGATAGTGGTGGTGGTTGTTACAACAGTAGTTGCAGCGATAGCGGTGATAATGGTGGCAGCAGCGACGGTAGTGGTGGGGATGGTGGTGGTGGAGGTGACGGCAGTGGCTGCGATAATGGTGGTAGGTATGGTGGTTGGTGGCGGTAACAATGATAGCAATGGCATGGGCGGTGGCGGTGGTGACAGTGGTGGTGGCGGCGACGGCGGTGGTGGTGGTGCTAGTGGTGGCGATGGCGTGGTGATGATAGTGGCGGGGTGGTGTAATAGTGGCGATGGTGGTGGTACTAACGGTAATGGTTGTGACGATGGTGGCGGCGGCGACAGCGGTGGTGGTGACGGTAGTGGCTGCGACAATGGTAGTGGTGGTAGTAGTATTGGCGATGAGGGTGGTGGCAGTGGCGTGTGATGGCGATGGTGGCAGTGATGACAGTGGTTGCGATGATAGTGGTGGTGGTTGTGGCGGTGGTGGTGATGGTGGTGGTGACGGTGACGGTGATATTGGTGGTGGTGGTGGTGGTGGTAGTTGTGATGGTGGTGACGGTGGTATGGTGGTAGTGATGGGTGGAGGTGGTGGTAATGGTGGTGGTGGCATCGTGGTAGTGAGTGGTGGTGACGACGGCACTAGTAGTACGATGGTGGCGGTGACGGTGGTGGCGGCAGTCGTGTCAGGATGATGGTGGTGGTGGTGATGATGGTAGAGGTGGAGAGTAATTGAGAGAGATAAGTGTTTCTCATTTTGTGCCCGGGAACAAAAAAACAGAAATTTTCTGATTCTTTTTTCTGTTTCCCAGCACAAAAATTAAACCGGTTCATCCCAGGAACAAAAAAATAAACCGATTTTACCAAACGAGTTTCCTATCCATTTTTGTTCCCGACAACAGAAATTAAAAAAGAATTAATTCCAGTAAGGTTGTCATGCACACCCTTAAACTAGTTAAGGATCGACGTGACATTCCTCCAAACGAAGAAGAAAGAAAACAATAAAAAATATCATCTATTTAATAAGCCAATACGGTAGTGTTAAAAAATATAATCGACAAGGAAATAGATTCTGTGCCCTCAAGCCCGAGTACTGATTTGAAGTGTTTAACTATTCTAGGAAAAAAAAATTTAAGCTATTACGATTGGTCTAGTGATTAAAAGTTTAGGTACGTTGTATTAGGTTATATGTTCAATTTTCACTTGTATTCAAAAAGAAAAAAGAAAAAAAATTTAGTGTTATCTGTGAACAGAAAATAAAATTGGGGAATTTAACATCCAAATCAAATTAAAAATAATTTTTTTTAATTTATTATCAAAAATTGATCAAGAGAGAGGAGAACTGAAATGTCAAATGCTAGATAAACACTATTTAGCTAGATATATTTGATCTGTTGTTTGACTCTTCGTTCTCCACCACAGCCCATTTGTTAATGCGATTTCGAGCTATCTCTACCTGTAAAATCCATATATAACTTTTAGCTACTTTCCCTAAACATGGGAAATCAATTTCACAAACATAGAGCCGACAGTAATTAAATCGATTACCTGCTTGTCCCAATCAGTTTTAAGTGTGATTGTGATAAGCATCACGGTTTGAACAAATGTTCCAAACAACATTCCAATCCAAACACCCTGCAAAAGTCACATATTTGTGCACTTATCTCCTTTTATTCAAGACATGATATGAGGAGGCACTTGCAGTTGAAAACCATTTTCAGGTTGTATAGACTAAGAATTATGAACTTTATTATTTTAAGGGAAAAAAGTTTCTAATGTTACTTTAGACAACTTTATCTAATGTTCACCAAAACGACGTTGTTTTGGTGTTAAAAAATCAAAAAATTAGAATGATAAAGACTATTATAACTCTGAAATAAATTAAAATTACAAACACACAATGATTTCCGTCCCAAAACGACGTCGTTTCGATGAACATTAGATAAAGTTATCTAATGTAACTTTAGAAAAAAAAACCCTTATTTTAAATATAAAATATTTCTGTAAATGTAAAATGATGATATATTAGTTATTGATTAATGTATTCTTAACAATTGTGTCAAGTTTTGCTTAAGGTATATATATATATATATATGCAATTGAAAAAGATAAATTAATTACCTTGACTTGCAAATGGAGAAGGTTACCAAGAACCACTCCCACAGGAATACCAATCAGGTAATAACAGCCTATGTTTACATATGCTACTACGCTTTGCCACCCAGCTCCAACAGAAACTCCTATTGATCATGATAACATTAACAGTCAAGTAGCTCGAGAATTAATCACAGTTTTTATCTTAATAACTAAATAATAATCTTGTCCACTAACTATCTTTTAATAAAAAATATATATATAACACAATCTATCAGATCCATTACATTTACTTTTGTAATAGAATGAATAGAGTTGTCTTACCAAAAGAAAAAAGAAAAAAATGAATTGAGTTTAAATTATGGGCTTTATTAATCTCATGCAATAGGAGAGAACTCTCTCATGCAATAGAGATAATCATATGTGGGACTCACCCATTATAGAAAAAGAAAAAGAAAATAAAAAAGTAACACGAAAATCGATTTATGTGTAGGAGAGAAAAATTTTCTCCTACAACATAAAGGTAAATTATATGTCCGTAGGCCTTGATAGGTGGTAGATAAATATATCCACCTGCCATCCTTAGACCATATATATCCAATTTAAAAAGAAAGAAAATATTCCAGGGCTCTTATTATGAAGATTCATTTAATAAAATAAGGGAAAAAAATAATCCAGCTAATTATATTTACTAAGAATGTAAATGGGCTAGATGGATAGACTTTGATCTAAATAGGTTAGACCTATAATAAATATTTTGAGTCTAAGATGACCTAATAACTTGGTATAAACTAAATTATACATTTGACCTATATTAAAAATCAAAATGCCTAGTATGTTAGAGTCAATTTGGCACCTCTGTTTTTAAGTTAAAAGTTAATTTTAGGCCAAAGTTAAAAAAAAAAAACTTTAAAAATAAAGTTAAAATCCGTTTGCTGATTGTATAAAGTTTTAAGATTAAAATGTTACTTAAAGCCTGTTAATTTCAAAAAAATCTTTTTTTACGAGCTTTTGACTTTTGATTTTTTTCTTCATTCGAAAAAAAAGACTTTTTTTATTATAAAAACTTTTGTAAAAAATTATTTGTCTTACCTTCAGCTTATAAGGAGAAGAGGAGTAAAAAAAAAAAAATCTCCCAAATAGGTACTTAGAGCCCATTTGTTTGGACTTCTACAAAAAGTAATTTTTATCTCTTACATATTTTAAAAGTATTTTTTACAAAAGTTAAAGCTATTTATATTTTTATAAAAATGTTTAGTTTTTAAAATAAAATATTTGACTTTTGATTTCTGCTTTTTTTAAAAGTTAAATTTTTTAGCTTCTAAAAAACGTAGATTTTTAACTTTTTTGTGACTTCTACTTTTTTTAAAAACAGACATCTAAATGAACTTAAAGTGAAAAAATATTTTTTTTTTAAAAACAAAAGCAGCTTTTGGGAAAAAAAAAACTCATCCAAACAGGCTCTTAGTCATCAAGTCTCAATATCTTTTAAGAATTAAAAAATAAATAAATAAAATAATATTATTTTATTAACGAAATTATTTAAATATGTATTTTAATTAAAATAAATAATATAATATAATATAAATCAACCTGTAAACTTCTATAAGCTTGGGTTTGTAAAAGTAATCTTATAACCTGTCTTTCAAACAAACTTTTTTAAATTTCTGAACCTGAATATACTATGCTAAAACTAACTGGACATAGGCCGGACCGAAAACCTGTGATAGGACTGGCCCATTTATTCGTCTAACATTTACTTTATCATCTCAATATTATTAATGTGACATGTGCCCCATTTTTTTTTTTTTTTTTAATTTTAACGTGAGTACACTACAGTAATCACCCTTAGGCCTTGCGTTAAACCTTTAAAAATTGTACTCAAAAAATAAATTGAACTTCAAGAAATCTAGCAAATAATAATAATAATAATGTAAAGATTACCAGAAAGCACTGGTTGGACACTGTTCAACAACATGGAGACTGACAGCAAAGGTGATAAATCCCCAACTGCTTCAGCCACCTCTGGGTTTGGAGTGAAAACGTAAGCAAGTTTTCCCCTCAGGAATAGGAACACCAAGAATAGCACGAACCCAATGGAAAATGATGTGAGAACTGTTATCAGAATGGAAAACATTGCAGCCTTTGAACTCCCTCTTCCAAGCTCATTTGCCACCCGGACACTGTAAGAAAATTAATATGCACCCAGTCCTTCTATTACTTTGTAAAGTTAATTGTTGTTCTAAAAATTATCATTACAAAATATTTTATATAAAGAATATAGAACAAAATATTAAGCTTTAACATTATTTTTAAAAATTACTCAAGAGAAACTTCTCATATAATATTTATTATAAAAATATAATATGTTATATTTACAAACTACATTTTGTATTTGGGGAAATACATTCTTAAGTGAGTGTATTTGCCGGTGTATATTGTGTAGTTTGTAAATAAAAAATTTATAAACATAACTCTCCGCATAAAAAAATAGTTAATGCTTTTGTGCTGTATCTTTCTCTCCATATATACAAGAAATATCTTTTGACTTCAGGGTAAAATTAAAAAAAATTATTTTTCATCTCAATTGTTGATTTTTATTTATTTAATGACTGTAATTTATTTAGAAATAATGATAAATTAATTGTTATAACTCAAATTATAATCATTAATTAAATGAATAGAAATCAACGGTTAAGATAAGAAAGTGGAAGGGGTGTGTGTAGTAAGATCCTTTGGCACTTGTATATATATAACACAAAATCACTATATTTTAATTTTTTTATGAGACATATTTTGAAGAAAAATTAGATTGTGACAACATTAATTACCCAGCTGCAGCAAAGAAACCAAGGGCTATCATCATTTCCCAGCCATTGATGTTGAGGCTGCAAAAATGATATTAACAATAGATTATTTCAATATGATGAAGCAGGTGGATCATGTCCCTTAATACGAATTTAGAAACAAAAGTAAAAATAAGAAAGAGATCGTAAAAAAATAATAATGATAATAATAATATTAATGAAATAAGTTACCATATGGCCAGAGCATCAATAGAAACCTCAGCATTTTTCATGTTCCCCGTTAGAAGAATCAAAACTGTATTGTACCAGATCTCAAGACTGTAAAACGAACCACATAGCTTTATGTTAGTACAAAAATTTCTTTTTTACAACAATTTTTTTAGCCTCTTTTTTTTTTTTTCCTACGAGTCAAATCTAGTAAACAACTGAAGTATAAGGTCATTAATAATTACTAATTGGTATGTTGTTTCTGCTACAATATTTATTAATGAGGATATGTAACATTTGTCAATAGGTTCTAGTCTAAGTTATACATAATTCAAGAAACTGATGATGAAAATTGCTTGAATTCTTACCATAACATAGCCCCAGAAGACAGGGAAAGCTTGATAACAGGCCAGAGATCTTTGAAGGCCAAAAATGAGAAACCCAACCATGTATCTGGGCATTTCTTTATGATAAACATAAGCTGGCCCAAATTTGGTATCCAGTATGCAAAAATTGTTGATGTCATTGCCCCATTGAGCCCAAACTTGTACTTGACAGTTAAAAGCCATGACAGAAAAAGGTGAATTGAAATTGAAACTGCTGCTAGGTAGGCAATAATCTTGTTCTTGCTCTGTGCTTGTAGGAACATTTGGCAAGTGAAAGACACAGAGAAAGCAAAGACCACACCTATGGACCAGAGAGAAATGCTTCCTGCAACTTGAGCAATACTTTTATCTTGGCCTAGAGCCTCTAAAATTGGGGTGGTAAAGATGTAAATAGGTAGAAGAAAAATTGAGGTGAAGAACAAGACTATCCATGATCTTTGAAGATACACTCCAAGCATGTCATATTTTTTTGCCCCATATGCTTGTCCACATAGAGTTTCCAATGCACTAGCCATACCCAGCTACAATTTTCAATTAGAAAACAACAATTTGAACTTTGTAAATTGTAGATATCACATGCAAGATAAAAGGAAGAGGAGCACTTACTAGTACACCATTTGCAAACCTTACTAGGACAGTCATCACAAGAGCATAAGCAGCTAGTTCAGTGGATCCAATATGCCCAATGAAGATTTGACTAATTACTGTGATTCCAAAAGTTGAAAACCTTGTCAATATAGCAGGGCCTGCTACCACCCACATCTTCTTGCTCTCTTTCCATACCCTTTCCCTCAGTGACTCTTCCTCTTCAACACTTTCATCTGAATTGTTTTGCTGATGCAAAAGCTTCTCCTTTAGCCTGTCTCCCATTTCCACTACTACTATGGAGTTGCCAATATTTTCTTGACATGGAAGATAATTCATATATTGCAGTAGGTCATATAAATAACTAAACCATAGGCCATTAGGAAAAAAAGAAAAGAATCTCAAGGGGCACCTAAGACCTTTTAGACCATTTGCTTTTGTCACAAACACAATCTATTAAGTACAAAATTATTATTATTTAATTTATTAATAATTATAACTCCATGTTTAATTTATTTTATGCACCTCTCGTATAAAGTTGTTCTGGACAAACATAATGCTCCCTTTTTTCAGCTATGTGAAATGAATTTTACCCACCTTCAGGTAAATATTCCTTTCTAAATAAAAGGTTAAGTTACTAGTTCCGCTAGATCAAACATTAATTCTCCATAACAAAATTTTGTTGCATAAGAGGTATCCAACTGGATACATCTTTTTTTCAAAAAGGAGAAAAAATTTCAATATAGTGGAATTTTTTTTTTCCAAAAATAATGAAAACTTTTTCAAATAAAAAAAATGTACCACATTAAATATATCTGATGCGCCAAAGATATTTCACTTCTCCATCTTTCTATTGTTTGTCTTTTGGCTAGTATCCACTGTTTTATTTTGTAAGAGATGAAACATATATCCTTTCGTAGAGATTATAAAAAGACTCTGTAATGGTAACTTCATAATAATTATCTTGGTATAGGAAATAGCTATGGCAGGCAGGACCACGACCACACGTCCAATAGAGGGAAAGGATTGAAAATAAGTTTTTTGGCACCACCTCAGTGTTGGCACTAGAAACATCACCACTGGTGGTCCTAATTTTATTTTTTTTTATCTTTTTTATTTTGCAGATCATATACATGCACCCAGTGAATGTAATTATACTGTTATTTGGTGTAAAACAAAGTTCGGTGGCTATTTTATTTGGAAAAATAATAATAACAAACGAAGAAATGGACAATTCAAATTGAGATATGTATGACGAGGTTAGAAGCCAAAGGGCAAGTGCACTTACGTCAGCGATAATGTTCCAAAAATTGACAGATAATATTGAAAAAACATTCTCTGAAGGTTCAGTATAAGAGTAATGTCGCGCGCGCGCTCTCTCTCTGTACGGGGAAATGTGTGTTATTTCAAATGACACATCTTATATCTTTTCACTCTCACAAAAAGATAAGACTCAAATTTTTAAAACTTTTCCTCCACTCTTTCTTCCATGATTTATTTCTTTCTCTTACTTAAAATGACACAACTTTGTATCCTTTACAATGATATATATTTATCTCTTCCATGATTCTTCCAAATAAGATTGGGAAAAAAAAGGTCGAAACAATACCTAACTCTTGGGTACCACGCCACACATAATAATTGTTGGATATGACTCATATCTCACATGCTGATAAGAGCTTTTATTATTAGGGTCAGCAGAAAGGTAACTAGAGCCCCGCTTCCAGATGAACGGGCGGGGTCCGAGAGGCAGCGCTCCCAGTAGAGGATAGGTACTATTGTGGGCCTCTGATTTATTGTAATTTTTTTCTTTTCTTAGTAGTTTGGGTTTGGGCCCATGAATAATTATTGTTAGAATTTTCTAATCCTATTTATATTCTCTTTGTAAACCAAGTGACTTGTAACGAGTGGCGATGAAGTGAATATAGTACAAACAAATTAAATGTAGCCTAAATTGGGTGAATCAAAGTTGTCAATTCTCTCTCTCTTTCTCTTTTCGTTTGTGATGTGTGTGATTGTCGATTTTCAACAATAATGAGGGTCTTGTACTTTCTTAACTTACCTTTCGGTACCATGAATTACGTTCAAAAGGCAAGGAATATAGTAATTACACACCTAAAAATATGTGAGATCCATATAAGATCATATGAAGAGAAGGGAGAGAAAAAAAATATGTTTAGATGCATATTTTATATTCTCTCTTCTTCACAAATATATTTTTCTTTTTGGTATTCTCATTCAATCTCCTCCGGACTCTTTGTCTTCGGAGTATGGCCCCGAAGGCTACCCATCATTGGAACATCGAGTGCATTGAGTTTCGCTATTGGAAGAAGGATGAGACTAATTTCTCATTCAAGGAGAGAGGCACATCCTCTGACCTCCAATTTTTTTTTCAAGAATTTATCCTCGTTCAAGAAGAGAGGCACATCGTCTGACCCTCAATTTTTTTTCAAGAATTTACTTAAGACAAAGTTTAAACCCCTGAATCAAGCAAACCCTTGGGAGCTACCCTTTGGGGTTTCTTTCCTTCACAAAATTAGGAGCATGATATTGTGGATGAGAGAAAAGAAACATGTTATATATATTTGAATAATTTAAACACCCCACAATTCCACTTGTAAAAGTTATTTCTCATTTATTGCCATTGAATTGTGTAACTTCAAAGAAATATACCCCTACCTCACAAACTAGAGCTTTGTGCCCAGGAGTTTATTTTATATTATAGACTGAGAAAACAATTACAATGAACTCAAACTCGCAGTTTTTAATAATACCACACATAAATTCTGTTGTCCCTATGCTTTAACATAGGAGTTTTTATCATTGAACAAACAAATATGCAATTCCAACATCCCTTCCCTGATTCTAACATCAGGAAATTAAATAAATAAATAAAAACCATCAATCTTCCCATGATAATAGAAGAAAGTCGAGGAGGAACTATGAAAAAATATTGGTGGTATTGGTAACCAATCATTCCTATATTTTCGCAAACTTTCTTATATAGCAACCGTTAGAATAAATATAGATGTATGATTCAGAGATGAATAAGTTACAAGAAATAAATAGGTTGAGAATTAGCAGGCAAAAAACCAAGCATTGGACGCAAAGGGCAACAGCTAAGTGCCAAAGAATGCCAGAGGATGAGAATTAGCCTTATCTATCGAATGCTGGAATACATAACACCAGACGCAAGAATTTTAATAAGAGGGGGCGAAAATAACAAAATATTATATCATAAATAAACATACTTGAAATACAATACAAATTTAATATACAAAAAATTGAAAGAAATCTATTACAGAAATTAATATCACTTTACTTGACTCTTGCTCTATGTGTTTTCATATTGTTAAATTCATCTATAATTGAATCCGTACTAAAACTCAAAACAATTTCTTTTTCAATGTATGTAATTAAAGAATCATCAAGAAATTGCTCTTCCATTCTATTTCGAAGCCTGGTCTTGATTATCTTCATAGCTGAGAAAGATCTTTCAGTGGTTGGTGTAGAAACTGGAAGAGTGAGTACAAGTCTAATCACTCTATCAATAAGAGGGTAAATATTGGATTTTCCAGTTCTTGCTAGCCCTTGACATAATTCAGAAGTAGTTGATAAATTAATCAAATCTGGATGTTTAGGAATGTCAAGGTCAAAATGTTGTAACTCCATCTTCAAATGCAATTTTTCCTGTTCTGTGAAATCTCTAGAATAAAATTTATCAACAAGTTTACAAATATCATCACTATTAAATGACTTGTACTTTTTTCTTGGATCTAAAGTCCTGCTCAAAGTAAGTAATTCAACAGTATTATCATTGAACCTGATATTTAGTTCTTGTAATTGATAATCAATTGTAGCACAAAAGATATTTACCCTGTAAAATTTCTCAGTAGAAAAATCACCTTGTTCATTTCGAGCACAACCTCTCCTTCCAATATATTTTGCACTCATATCTGGAATGTCAATGCCATGTTTTCTGCAAAATTCTTGAACATGAACTAAGAAAGCATCCCAACCCGACTCTTAATTTCTGAAGTAACTTTATTGTAGTTGAAACCAAATGTAAAGCATTTGAAATATCTTGAGACTTTAGTTGCAAAGCTTGACAAAGGACTTCAGTAATACCCATAATTTCCTTCATAAGGTGCAATATGATGACAAAATTAAAAGATGTCAATGATGAGTATGCATTATCTGCATCTCCATGATGTGATGCTGTCTTTCCTTCATTAGAAATATTATCAAGAACTTCACATGTGGCTTTAAACATTTGAAACAAACTGCATATCGAATTGTAATGACAACTCCAACGAGTAGCTCCAACTCGATGCAAAGTACCAACCTGATTAAGACCAACTCCTGATTCGAGTTCATCAATAGCAATCATTCTTGCAGTTTTCTTTGTTTGGGCAACCCTTAACTCATCATTACGCTTACAAGAAGAAGTAACAATATTAATTATGAAGTTCAATTTTTCATAAAACTGATGAACATGTTTTACCTCATGAGATGCAGCAACCAAGGCAAGTTGAAGGCGATGAGCTAAACAATGGACATAATAAGTGTAATCACTCAATTTTGTCCTCACACATAAAAAAATAAAAAAATATAATAATGGGAAAAAAATATAAAAAATATATAATGGATTTCAGTTTTATTTTGATAAAAAAATGGCTCAAGATCCACCTAATATAAGCTAGGATTATACACGAAAAAAGGTGCAAAAAAGAGACTATGGAGTAGAAAGGTTTAACTAGCACAAATAAAAATCCTTTGGCGGTGAAAGCTTGAATTCTTCAAGATGAAGAATTCTCTTTTATTGGACCCCACGAGATTGTCTTTTGCCCCCTATAGCAAGTGTCAGTAACTCATGCACAGTGCGGCTTCCAATTCTTCAATGCGAAGCAATTTTCCTCATTGGACCACTTATGAAATGTTAGGTTTGAAATTGTAATATTAGATTTCACCAGCTGCAACTAATTTGCTGCCCATACATCACAAGTACCAATGATACATCAGCACCTTCACCCAAGGTACAAAAAAAAGGTTTACTCTCTGTAGTATGGGGCCGCACTGTGGAATCAAAAAGCGTGCATGATTTGATCAAGGAGGAGATGCATGAAACCCTCATGTGAAGAAATCTCCAAGGATTGCTCTATAAATACCAAGAGGTGAGAACTCAGAGGGGGGACGGTCATTTTGTGGGAGCATATATTCATCCTTCCAATACCTTCTTTTAACCAAAAAATAGGCCAATACTTAATGTGTTGAATTCCTCCATTATCTGTCATATCCAATGTTATGAACAAAAAATTCACAAGACCACTTGCATATTTCTAGCAACTCTACGTTTTGATCAACCTGTTTCGTGTTTATCATTAACACTCATGCTGTTGACGGAACCTTCATCATAGTAGCTATGTTGCAGAAATTTCCATCATGATTTTGAGCGCTTACTTCTCAAGGTTAGCTTGAATGTTTTAGTCACAGAGAAGTTTGGGTTTTAATCATAATATATGTAAACTTGGTCAATATTCTAAAATATTAATATTGATGTGTTGTTATCCATCTTTTGGATTCTTGTGATTGGTATATTTTAATAATATATAGATTAGCAAACATTTTTTGTTTTGGTACATGACCCTGCACATTCACGAGTCATGGTGCTTTTCCTTTCAACTTATACCTTTCCTTATTATAATGACGAGAATAACATAACACTTCTTCTTTCCTTTTTGTTTGTTTTATCTATTTTTATCTTAATATAACAAGAAGAAAGAAATGTTCTAATATTATAGATTTGTAAACGTAGTTTTATGAGGAAATATTGTTGATCAAAACGTTTCTTTTGAATGAATATTAAGTGGGTTAAATAAAAACGTTAGTTTTATGAGGAAATATTGTTGATCAAAACGTTTACAAATCAAAACCCATTTAGATTTTATCAATATTTCTAAATAAAAATTATCATATTAGATTTACATGGGTAATTTAACCGTGACGGTTTGTTAATCCCATAGATTTTGTTGTGGATCATTTTGGCCGAGACGGCTTGATGATTCAAAATTCATTTAAGTTTATCATAAAATAAATATATGTTAAAAGGATTAGCTAAGTTGTGACAGCTTGTTAATTCCTTTATTCTTTAGAATCATTTCGACTGTGACAGTCCGATGATTTTAGACCATTTAGTAATAATAAATAAACAAACAAATAATCATAATTTTTTTTATTTAAAATTACTGATTTCAGGTCAATTTAAAACATAAAGAATATAAAATTAGTTTGATATCAATTGAAATGGGAGTCAGCTGAGCCGTGACGGCTTGTTAACCCCACACATTTTGTTGACTTATTTTTGCCGAGACGGCTTGGCAATTCAAAATTAAATCAAATTTATCATAAAATGTACAATAACAAAAAATAATAATATGAACATTATTATTCTTTTAAAAGAAGGGATTAGCTGAGTTGAGACAACTTGTTAATCCTGCAATTATCATTTCGGATTATTTTAGCTGCGACAGTTTGATATTCCGAAACCATCAAATCCAAAACTTTCAAATTATTTTCTTTAAAACTACTTTCAAAATTAAAATCAATCAACACACAAATATTTTCTGCAGAACGACGTAGCTTTGAGTTCTCTATTGTACCGAGGGATACGTCGGAGCGGGACCATCCCGTCAAGCACAAAAATAAAATTTCAAATTAGTTTTTCTTTTCCAACGATCAATTTTATTTATTTAGGGTGAAATAAATATTTAAAATATTATCAATAATTTGCACAATTAATATAAGGTAACCATTTTTAACGGACGATGTAGGGTGCTAATACCTTCCCTACTCGTAATCGACTCCCGAATCCATTTCTTTTGTTTTCAAAGACTAGTTGTCTTTAAAAAAAGGTTTTTCCAATGTTTTCCTAAATAAACTTTGGTGGCGACTCCATTGTTTTAATCGTTCAATATCTTTCGCCGTCACGTCGCGATACGGTTGCGACAATAAGCATATGGACACTCAGCGCAAATTAAAGCCTGCAATCCATTCCATTCACCTCGCATATTGCTAGCTCCATCATACCCTTGTCCCCGAATATTTTGAACATCAAGATTATGGTGACGAAGAGAGTTACATAGTCCTTGTTTCAAAGTCTTAGCACGTGTATTTTCCACATGTACAAGACCAAAAAATCTTTCCCGTATAAAACCATCTTTATCTACGAATCTCAAAACAATAGCCATATGCTCTTTTTTAGATACATCACTAGCTTCATCAACAATAAGACAAAACTTGGCGTTGGAGATTTCTTCTCGTATTGTGTCCTTTACCTTTTGAGAGAAAACATGAAGACTTTCCTTTTGAATTCGAGGGGAACTATATGAAGCATTTTGAGGAGCTTTTTCTAAAACAACCAACGCAACTTCTTGATTATAGGAAGCTAAAAACTTTATCATCTCCAAAAAATTACCCCGATTAAGTGAATCTAAGTTTTCATCATGACCTCTAAAAGTACATCCTTGCAAAGCAAGCCATCTTGTCACGTCCACAGAAACTTGTAGTCTCAAACGATTAGCTGCAATCTGCTGAGAAGTAAGTCTTTCAACCAATATCTCAATATGTTGAGATTGGTTCATAAGATCACTACATGATCTCACAGCATTTTTATGCATTGAGATAATATTTTTTCTGACATGGCGCAGAAAAGCACAATTTTCTCCATCATTAACCTTTTTCCAACTTCTGAATCCCTCAACAACAAATGTACTAAGTCCAAAACGACCATTGCCGCCTGGTTTACTAAATAAATAACAAGGCAAACAAAATGCAACATCTTTAGTTCGAGAATACTCTAACCAAGATGGAAACAAATCAAACCAGGAAGAGCAAAAGTGATGTCGATTCTTCTCTAGCCCAGAGAAAGGATAATTTTGAAGCTTGCACTGAAATGGACCAAGTTTAAGATACGCACGACGAATTTCATCTTGTTGATTTATAGGAAATTTCCATATCGGAGGGCGTAGTGCAGGATCTCTTTCCAATGAAGCAAGATCATCTTCTTTAACCACTTCTTTATTTTCAATACTAGGAGACTTTAGAGAAGGAGTCTCAATATTTGATAATTCAAAATTAGGAGTAGATGAGGACAAAGACTCACTATTCTTTCTCTTAAAATAAGTATCAATAGTAGCACTTTTCCCTATAATAATCACTACAAAGAAAATAGAAAATATACAGTTATGAATTATTTATGGTTTGCAATTTTGTATTGGAATAGATCATTCTAACAAGAAGCATGTGGAAATAGATCATTCTTGGAGGGACACATGAAAATCTAATTATTTAAATAATTAAAGGAAACATAAAGTATCCAAATCTAATTATTTAAATAATAACCCTAATATGTAATGAGAATTAATAAAGGAAACATAAAAATATATCAACACTCTTTGATCCGTATTTTCACTTGTTGTTTCTTATAATGTTCCAACAAGAAGCTTTTCTCAGGTTTAGTACACATCAATATATGGATATTTTATATATCTATTGTGAATTTTTTGGCCACCTAAATCCAACGGTAGATCTAAAGCTTTGAATTCAAGTCATGGCATAAACAAATATGATCATGTAATATAGGAAGGAGTGCACAATGAAAATGGAAATAATGTTCAGATAGAAAAGTTGAAAACTGGAAAAGGCGAGCATGTGATTCTCTTACCTCCTTTTGGGGACAGAGTTAAGTCATCTGTTGAACAGTATTCCACCTTCTCCAATCTCCAACAGTCGTCCCTCTCTTCTTCAAAATGGGGCTGTTTTTGTCTTGTTATATAATATATATGCTGCCTGCAAGAGATGGAAAAACTTGTGAAGTCAGGAAAATGATGATGGAGAGGGGAATTAAGAGAAACCCATTTTATATTAGCAAAAAAAGAAGAAGAGAAACCCATTTTATATTATCAAAAAAAAAAAAACCCATTTTCGTTACTTGCCTGGTTGTCGTTGGTGATGGACGGAACGGAACACAGAAAGAAGGATGTTCTCAAGGATGAACTGGTTGCCTCTTGCCTGCGCTGGTTGGTTGCTGTTCTGAGAGTCTGCAAGTTTAGATAAGGTTATCTACAGTTACCCCTTTTTCACTAAGTATGACCGGTCATACTTAGTTATAACAATAAAGCTGTTCTTTTTTTCCCTTTCCTCAGACATTGTCGGCTGACGTGGCGGAGAGAGAAAATGCAATTTTAAAGTATGACTGGTCATACTTAGTGAAAAAGGAGTAGCTGTAGACAATCTTATCTAAAGTGGCTGCAGAAATGTTTTTCCATATATATATATATATATATATATATATATATATATATATATATGTAGGATCCTTTGACACCAGTGTCAAATTTCAAATTTGACATCTCATCTGATAGCTATTAGATCAAAAAAGATCAATGGTGTCACATGCTTACAAATCAGAGCCATTGATATTTTTTGATCTAACGACTATCAGATGAGGTGTCAAATTTGAAATTTAACACTGGTGTCAAAGGATCCTATCTATATATATATATATAAATATATTGGGGTAAACATTTCTGTAGCCACTTTAGGTAAGGTTATCTACAGTCACCATTTTTAACTATGTTCTCTTGGGAGAACATAGTTATAATAGTAAAGTTACTTTTTTTCTCTCTCCTCAGTTACTTTTCAGAACCTGTTTGCTGACATGGAGAGAGAGAAAAAAATAACTTTAATATTATAACTATGTTCTCCCGGGAGAACATAGTTAAAAATGGTGGTTGTAAATAACCTTATCTAAAGTGGCTGTAGAAATATTTTTCTCATATATATATATATATATATATATATATATATATATATATATATATATGACAAGATATTCTTACACCGGTGTAAGAGTTAGAAGTCTTACACTCAAGCTTGATCAATAACCCACTTGTATCCAATGGCTCACATTACTAAAAAAATTGAGCCCTTAGATATAAGTGAGATTAACGAACAAGATTAAGAGTGTAACTTACACTGATATAAAATGATTCTGACCTTGTATATATATATATGTGTGTAATTGAAAATATTGCTACTCGAATGGATTATGTAAGTAATGAAGGGTATTTGCATTGATTGAGACTAAGAAAAGAGAAACCCCAAAAAAATAAAAGAATAAAAAATGGCACCAGTTTTATTACCTTATTTTGTTGAGCAAATCTTGAGTACATGAACAAATAAATGGACAAGGTTTCGTCATGCATAGCTCTACTAATACAGATGAAATCTCATTCATTTCTGTAAGCAAATGCGGTATATTTAAATATTTTCTTCGTCATTAACTTTAATCATCGAGGTAAATGAAGTTTTTGATAGATCGATGTGGTAAGTTAATTAATTTCAAATATATGTCCCAGGAAAATAATTGACCCTGGATATCACTCTTAATTAGTGCCTGTACTTCAACCAATGCAATTATGGGAATCGCATTCTATTCCATTAATTTTCTACCATATATAGTGGAGCATATTATCAGTTGGGTCGGTATAAAAAGATGTTTCTTCCTCAGAATTGCAATTGCCAAGGGTATCTTATTTTTTTGTGATTTATATTATCCTAAATATCATTTTTTACAATAAAATAAAATTTATTATAATTTAAGAAAAATAAAACAATTATAAGAGCAAAAAGTTGTGTGCTTAAACATTTTTTTTCTTCCTATATGCAATTTTTGTAAAGGGGACCACAATATTTCATTATATTTATTTTTGGAATTAAAGTGAACAACAAATGTCCATATGTTTATTAATTTGACAAAGTATATTATTATGTTTTGGTAAGCTACACTCTCTCTCTCTCTTAAATAAATTTTTAAATTTTTCTCTTAGCTCTCTTTAACCTTGGTTTCACTTAATTAAAAACGTTAATTTTTAATTATATATTTTAATAGTAATTTTACATTTTCTAATTCTATTTTTTAATTTTTTTATTACAAAAAATGTAAAATAAATAGTAATTTTAGGAAGTAGCTTGAGAAAGTACCAAACTACACTGGGCGAAATGTAAAGTAAACAATAACTGAAGTTAAAGTTCAGTAAATTTTTTTAACAATTTTAACTTAAATTAAAGTTGAGAGGGATTATATTGTCCACCCAAAAATAAAATAAAAAATTGAGAGGCATTAAGTGACACAAAAATGTGTGATTTATCCTTATATTGTTTTTAGGAAAAGTTTCAGGGATAGGATATTGTGACACACAAATAATATTACGCACAATGTTACGGCCACATCTTAACCGTTGATTTCCGCCAATCAACAGTTATCATTATTAAATCAAACTCATTAATTAATTATTAATTCGCAATAAATGATAACTTTTGATTGACGAAAATCAACGGTTAAGATGTGGTCGTAACATTGTGCGTAACATTATTTGTGTGTCATAATATCCTATCCCAAAGTTTCAATCTACACTGCTTCTAACTTAGGATTATGCATATTTTAGTTCTAAAACTTCATAAATGTATAACGTCATCCCTAAACTTTCTAATATGTGCATTTTCATCTTCCATTGGATTTTCCATCATACTTTTGTGGAAATTCTCACATTGAAATCATATTTTAAAATTTTAAAATCAAAGTGCACATAATCCTAATTTGAAAGTGGTAGTCTAAACTTTTACCATAAAAATTTTGGTATAAAAAATGGGAAGGATATTGTGACAACCAAGTTGTGTTACTACCAAGTGACTACCAATCAATCTCACCGTTAGATCGATTATGTTGATCAAACGGTTATATTTATTTCTATCTTTGTATGGTCATGATTCTCCACATTTAAAGTGAAAGCATTAAATATGGGAAATCATAATCATACAAAGGTGAAAATAAATATAAAGTATTAAATTTGGGAAATCATGACCATACAAAGATAGAAATAAATATAACTGTTGGATCAATATAATCGATCTAACGGTAAGATTGATTGGTAGTCACTTGGTAGTAACACAACTTGATTGTCACAGTATCCTTCCCCATAAAAAATAATCACCTAATTTGAATGTAATAATTTCTGTTAGAGTTTGACGGGGAAGTGATTAAACAGAAGGGTGGAAACACAAAAAAATTTAGGAATCACAATTCACGTTTTTAAACTTTCATGATCAAAGTGCACATGACCCTAAATTAGAAGAGGTTAACTAGGTTTTTTCCTATCCTTTATGCATAAGATATATGAAAATCATGATGATAAAGTGACATAATACTAATCCAAACATCCTTATTTGTCACCTACACGTAGGGCTCTAAATGGGCTAGGCCGGCCTACAGGGACCTACGGCCTAGCCTATATTAGGTCAGGTTTGACCTATTACAAATAGTAAAATAGAATAGACGTAGGCTTTTAAATAAACCTATTTAGAAAACAGGCCATAAGTCTTTTTATACATGTCGAGCCTATAAGCTTATAGGTCGGCCTATATTATATTATTTATTTAAAGAAAATAAATAAAATTATTATTTCAATAATTTTGAATAATAAAGTAATATTATTTTGAGAAAAGTGTGTATCATTTTTTTTTTTTTTTTGATAACAGTGTGTATCATTTTAAAAGACACAAAGTTGTGTCATTTTAAGTGAGAGAAATAGATAAATCATGGAAGAGAGAGTGGGGGAAAAAGTTTTAAAGATGTGGGTCCCACTTCTTTGTGAGAATAAAATGATGTAAGATGTGTCATTTAAAATGACACATTTTTCCTCTATTATTTTATTTATTTTTTTACTTGTTGAATGTTTAACAGGCTTAAACACTTAAACAGGCTTAGGCCAAAACTTTTATTTTTTAAATATAGATCAGGATAGACTTGTAATTTGGGACCTACACAGGCTAATAGGCTAGGCTAGACACTATTTTTTACATAAGCTTAGCCTAGCCTAATCTAGCCTAGCCTATTTACACCTCTACCTACACGTTAAAGAGATCACCATCATTCAATATCAAGTGATTGTTTAAGTATCATCCCACTCATTCTTTAACCTGGTGATTTCTTGTGTGAAAAGAACAGGATAAAAATTCTGAGAATTAATCATCTCATGTGTTATTTAACTATGTGAAAATATCCATTTACAATTTTTTTTTACAAATTACACTAAGTATGACCGGTCATACACTCCTAATTGAAGTATGACCGGTCATATTTAATGTAGTTTGTAAGAATTTGTAAACAAAAAATTTATAAATATAATTTTCTCCTTAACTCTTATGTAATGTGAGAGAGTTTTAATTATTTATTGATAGGTCAAGTTATTTATTTTATTTTATTTTGCCATTCTCTATCCTAATATTTTTTCCATCTCAAAATCTCATCACTGGTTAATTTGTTCACGAATGACTAATATCCTTTTACATGAACTGCTAATGTTAAATTATATATTAAAGAATTCATTCCCAAAAACATATTAACAATCTCATTTTTGTGCCTTTTATAAATGGAAAAAGTATTTCTTCACAGTAACTGGATATAAAGTTATCTTCAATGAGTCTAAAACGACGTTATTTTGAGTTGTAAGATTAAAAAATTATAATGATAAAGACTAATATAACCCTGCAATAAATTAGAATTATAAAAATGCCATAATTTCCACCTCAAAACGATATCATCTTAGGCTTATCAAAAATAATTTATCTCCATTCATCAGTGTTATGGACCAGGATGAGGCCCATGGTCAGTAAGGCCCATGATCAGCACAGGCCCACGAGTAAGCATTATAAATAGGGACTAAACGTCACAGGTACGACCTAATCTCTTTTTACCTATTTACGCAGTCTACATAATACACACACATCTCTCCCAAGGCTAAGGCCATCAGATAGTGTGTGATCTGCTGTCCTCAAGATACCTAACTCATAGATATCCAGAGAAGACACCTGAATCATAGATCAATCATCCAATCTTAATTGGACACATTTACCTAGGGCAGAACAATCAGAAAAATCTTTACCCTACACAACAACACAACATCATGCGAGTCAATATACATGGCCAATACCTCATTAACGTAAACCCCCATGATTAGAAAACGACAAGACAAAAAGG